ATCAGTGGAGTATGCGTACTAAATATGAAGTCCCTATCTCCTATGGTTCAAAAGTTGTGGCAAAAAGTGTAAAGAGCTATTTTTAGCATATCCGTCACAGTCAAGGTCACAAGATCATTGACCTTGCCGTCGTTTGAAAGGACTTTATCGGTGGAGTATGCATACCAAATATGAAGTCCCTATCTCCTTTGGTTCAAAAGTTATGACAAACAGTGGAAAAAGCTATTTTTAGAATATAGGTCACAGTCAAGGTCACAAAGTCATTGACCATGGTGTCATTTGAAAGAACTTAATCGGTGGAGTATGCATACCAAATATGAAGTCCTTATCTCTGATGGTTCAAAAGTTATGGCAAAAAGTGTAAAAAGCTATTTTTAGAATATAGGTCACAGTCAAGGTCACAAAGTCATTGACCATGGTGTCATTTGAAAGAACTTAATTGGTGGAGTATGCATACCAAATATGAAGTCCTTATCTCTGATGGTTCAAAAGTTATGGCAAAAAGTGTAAAAAGCTATTTTTAGCATATAGGTCACAGTCAAGGTCACAAGATCATTGACCTTGATGTCATTTGAAAGGACTCTATTAGTGGAGTATGCATACCAAATATGAAGTCCCTATCTCCTATGGTTCAAAAGTTATGACAAACAGTGGAAAAAGCTATTTTTAGCATATAAGTCTTAGTCAAGGTCACAAGGTCATTGACCTTGAAGTCATTTGAAAGGACTTTATTAGTGGAGTATGCTTACCAAATATGAAGTCTCTATCCCTTATTGTTCAAAAGTTATGGCCAAGGTTAAAGTTGACAAACAGACAAACAGATAAACAGACAAACAGACAAACAGACAGGACAAAAACAATATACGCCCGGGATCTATCGATCCGGGCGCTTAAAAAGTACCCTGCATATTTAAATGTAAATTGGTTGAAATTAGCCCAGTGGTTCTTAAGAAGTTAATGTGAAAAGTTTGCAGATAAACAGATGGACAACAGAAATCAGTACATTTCAGAAAACAGTATGCTTATAAATAGTTAATCAAGGTGCTTTGGGTAGCAAAATAAAGCTAAACTGGTATATCTAATTCATCCGCAGAGCTTAGTATATTTCAATATGCACAACCTTTTCAACTCTTATAATTATTTTTTAAAATTTATATCACCATGTCTCATTCAAGGGAGAACTAGAGATATGACCAGATGTATATCTGTTGAATATAAAATATGTACATGTATTCTGTGTTTTTTTTAGTAATTTGTTTGTTTGTTGTGACAGCAACTGTTATGACAGCTTTTGGCAAAGGTTGAAGTTTCTCAAATGTAAGTCAAACTCCAAGGTCAAGGTCAAAGGGTCTAAATTGTTGGTATCAAAGGGAAAGTCTTGTCACAAGGAATACACATGTGAAAAAAGGGAGAAATCCCTAGAACTTCCTCACCTGTTCAAAAGGTATTGCCAAGGTTAAAGTTAAATTGAATTCAACTCTAAGGTCTAGGTCAAAAATAATTATACCTGTTGAAAGTTCACAATGATTACACATGTAAGAGCATGAAAGTCCTAGCACCACCTGTTCAAAACTTACGCCAAGTTCAAGGTATTTTTCTTGTAAAATTGGGTCAAACTCCAAGGTCAAGAGATCAAGAGGTCAAAATTGGTGGTACCCATTAAAAGGTTTTGCCAAAAGAAATTTACCTATGAAATATTGAAGCCATGTGTATAGCCCAATCCACTTAAAAAATATGGGCAAGGTTAAAGTTTCCGTGGACAGACAAAAATACACAAACATAGGAAACAAAATATGTATAAATAGTCAAATGAAAAAATTTTCTACTATTATGGAGTCATAAGATCAATTGACTTTGGACATCCTCCCCCTTAGAAAACAGGGACTCCACCATCATTGTTTTTATTATTATTTTTTATTTCCATCTCAGGAAATCTTGGGCTGATTTTTTTGACTGAGGTGTGACACCCCCCCCCTTTCTGAAAAAAAAATTCTGGATCTGCGTCTGTTATATACTGAATGTCCGCAACGGGAGATAACTTGACAATGTGAAATTTGTCGACTGTGGCATGCGATGATCTTTGACCATGTTGACCCTTTTTGAACTTCAACCTAACCATTTGCATTTATTATACCCCACGCAACTAGTTGCGGGAGGTATAATGTTTTTGACCCGTCCGTCAGTCAGTCAGTCAGTCAGTCCGTCAGTCAGTCCTCTTTTTTTGTCAGCGCAACTCCTCATAAACCGCTGCACAGAATTTCATCAAACTTTGCAGGTATTTAGGACATAATGTGTAGATGTGCATATTACCAGGAAATTCCGATTCCGTTATTTTTTCCGGGAATTTCCGCACTTTTTAACTTAGGCATTTGGCCATACCTTGAATATAGAGATGAACAGTTTGTCAGCGCAACTCCTCATAAACCGCTGCACAGAATTTCGTCAAACTTTGCAGTTATTTAGGACACAATGTGTAGATGTGCATATTACTAGGAAATTCCGATTCCATTATTTTTTCCGGGAATTTCCGCACTTTTTAACTTAGGCATTTGGCCATACCTTGAATATAGAGATGAACAGTTTGTCAGCGCAACTCCTCATAAACTGCTGCACAGAATTTTGTCAAACTTTGCAGGTATTTAGGACATAATGTGTAGATGTGCATATTCCCAGGAAATTCCAATTCCATTATTTTTTCCGTGAATTTCCGCACTTTTTAACTCAGGCATTTGGCCATACCTTGAATATAGAGATGAACAGCTTGTCAGCGCAACTCCTCATAAACCGCTGCACAGAATTTCGTCAAACATTACAGGTACTTAGGACACAATATGTAGATGTGCATATTTCCAGGAAATTCTGATTCCATTATTTTTTCTGGGACTTTCCGCACTAAATACTTAGGTTTTTGGCCATACCTTTTATATAGAGATAAACAGTTTGTCAGCGCAACTCCTCATAAACCACTGCACAGAATTTCGTCAAACTTTGCAGATATTTAGGACACAATATGTAGATGTGCATATTACCAGGAAATTCTGATTCCTTTATTTTTCCGGGAATTTCCACACTTTCCAACTTAGACTTTTTGGCCATACCTTTTATATAGAGATGAACAGATTGTCAGCGCAGCTCCTCATAAACCACTGGACAGAATATCGTTAAACTTTGTAGATATTTAGGACACAATATGTAGATGTGCATATTACCAGGAAATTCCGATTCCTTTATTTTTCCGGGAATTTCCACACTTTCCAACTTAGACTTTTTGGCCATATTTTGAATATACAGATGAACAGTTTGTCAGCACCACTCCTCTTAAACTGTTGTACATAGTTTCTTCCACCTATGCAGATATTTAGGACATATTCCATTATTTTATCCCAAAGAATTTTGCCTATTATTCAAGAAAATTTCTCCCCCCCCCCCCATTCCATTTTGATTCCATTATTTATCTAGAAACTTCATTCCACATTTAAATGTCCTCATATGCAAGACATTTTGATGTGAAAATTTTTTGCAATTACATGTATTGCCCTTTTTGATCTATACTATGTATTTAAAGTGCACTAGCTGTGCCTTTCATTATGTGTATCACTGTCAAGTTTTGGGGGAGCGTGGGGTATGTGAGCTAGCTCACTTTTTCTTTCATTTATTTTTATGCAATCTATACTAAATCTTGTACTTACCGAATGTCATAGGTCGTGACAACGAATTCATGAAATATAATCCATATAATCCAATTAAAACACAAATGATTTTAACTGACCACACTGCATCATCAGCATACATGTGCTAAATAATCTCATTCGACAAACCTTTGCTGATTCCGTTGCCAGTATGAATTGGCCGAGGTGTGCCGAGAGGTGATATCTATTTATAAATATGATAATGGGTGACGCAAACCCAATGTGAATGTAGAAAATAAAACTGTTTAGTACAAGAACAAATTTCAAACTATCATAATAAACTAAACTATGTTTTTTAAAAAATGTGAGGGTGAGAGAGAGTGTGTGTGTGTGTGTGTGGGGGGGGGGGGGGAGATTGGCATTTACAAATTAATCGGGTTGTATTTTCAATGGGTTTTTTTCCCGACCAAATACTAAAATCAGTTTGCACATTTTGATAAATTCATCAAAAACGCTTTGTACTAAAATAATATTTTATGTCGTTGAGAAAGTAAATTTAAAAAGTTCCAAATTATGGGAAAATTATTTATTTGAATCTAATTAAGTAATTTACTTCAATCATTAATTAAATTCTGTTATTTCAGACTGGTTATGAATTAAGTATTTTAAAATACATATGTGAGGCTCAGAGTTGATATGGTCATCTGAAAATTTTATGTTCAATTTGACGAATACATGTACGGTGATAATTATAGAATTATTTTGACTTCTTCCTTGGAAAGTCCAATATGAATGAGTGTATATTTAGAGGCAAACACCATAGTGCGGGTATTACTGTCTCATGACAGCATCTAGTTTTTTTTTGTAAGTGTAATAATGAAATGAGTTCTGTCATCAAAATTTTGAATTAAGTGAGTGGCAGTAAATACAAAATTTAGAACATGACATCTAAATTTTGTAATTACATCCATCCGGTAAATTTAAAATTAAGAACATGACAGTTCTATCAACATAAAATACAGAAAAAAAAACACATTATAGTCAATACTTTTGCGGGTAGAATGAATTCATGAATGTTTCCCATACCGGTATTTTGCTGATTCAGCAATTTGCTTCAGTTATTAAAAGCAATAACATAGGAGTGTCCGTGTTGTTACATTTTGTTTATAGATTTTGGAATCATCATTAATGTGGATTTAACAGATTGCTAGATAAAAAAAATTATGGCTTAAGAAACGTTGCAATACATGTATTTGTTTTGATATTTTCCATTTAATTGTAAATTATTGTATAATTTTATTTTCCATGTGTATTTTTTTGTAGTATGTAGTGTACTATTATGTTAGCAATGCATTTCATTTGAAATGTTTAAAATATCAAGTTCCCATTTTCTTCGAAAATATTTACAACCTTTGTTTATTCATTTGAACCACATTTTCACCTGAACAAAATTGAACCAAAAACAGTTCATATTTAACTCTTAGATTTGAAACTGTATTAGCCGACTTCGCCTCTATCAATCTTGATATAGATCCTGGTTCATAAACATCAAACCCTTTTTAGCACCGATAGGTCAATATTAAATTCTTACACAATGAGGGGACCTATCTGATGACAGTAAAGTCATTTAGGACCAATCGCAAGTCTTTCAGGTTATGATTTAGCACCAGCTGGTCGCGATAACCTCGGATCCCACGTTACGAGAAAATCTGTGATCCACGCCGGCAGGAGGATTAAAATCCGGAAGAGAATTTTAGCGTCCCAGCCCACCCTGTAGTAAGCCCGGGGGTAGCGGGCCGTGAGGGCGTGGTAATATGCCTCCATCACCTGGCTAAGGTCTTTGCTGCCTTTGAATCGTAAAAGAGTCTTTGACACTGCCAAATTAAAAAAAAAGAATTTTTCATTTATCACAGAAGCACAGCAAAATGTTGAGTCGCACTGTGCGTAAATTGGTACCGCCTATGATTACTTTCATGCTTATTTGAATTTTCGGATATTAAAAACATTTTTTGTCGATATATTTCTCATTTCAGGTAATTTTAAAAGGATTTAAAACTTTTCCACGAAAGCATTGTAAATTGAGATGTCCTGAATATATATCTTTTGAGATTTTTTATGAGAACCAAAAAATGGAGGAGGTACCAAGATTGTCTGTCAAAAAGAAGGTTATAAAATAATCAAGCAGTTACAATCGGTCTGTGTCCACTTTAGCCTTCGGCCTTGTGATCTCAAAATCATTTAGGGTCATCTACTATAGATTGAAAACCAAAGTACTTATTAGTTTAATGTCTTTTAGAGCATTTACCATTTTCTCTATCTCAAATCAGCAAAAATGCTCAACTCCAAATTGGGGTCCAGCGTACCAAGTGTGATATCTATCAAGTCAAAAGTTCTCCCATCCACATGTCACAATATAAAAAGCAGGGGCATAGGCGTACCAAGGGGGGGGGGGGGGGGGGGGGGCTGTGATTTTAGCCCCCCCCCAACAACTTTTTTTCCAAATATATACTTAGTATAAATTGAACATATCTTCGGAGGTTTAGCCCCCCCCCCCCCCCACACTTTCCACAGATATGTCTTAGTATAGGTGAAAAATGGGGAAAGTGGTGGTGTTTGGAAAAAAATTTTGGTACTGAAGTTCGAACCTACCCCCCCCCCCCCCCCCCCCCCGACGCCAATGAGGGGTAAGCGTCAGAGGAATCTCGGATTATAGTGACCCTTAGTTATTCGAGGATACTCATTTAGTAGTTGACCCATGACCTCATGACCCAAAAATATCCATAAGGGACATCTACTTAGGGGCAAACAAAAGTATCAAATTTGATGCATGTGAAGAAGGTATTTTAAGGGTATTCAGATATTTTGAACATGCATTTAAAATTTATATGAAAATAAAATACTTTTCTGAAAGTAGTCCCTGCCATAGTAGTCTTTCACCTCCTCCGGGAGAGTGTCAAATGTTCTTTGTGCGAATTCCATAGGTGTCGAGCGCATCAGCATGCCTGTGTCGAATATACCTGGCTCTATTACATGTACGGAAACACCTTGATGATATAACTCACGCCTGAAAATGTAATATATGAGATAAAAGCGTGTATACTATATATATACATGAATCATTCTGCATATTTTAAACTCCCGTCGAATAAATTCACTATTTTAAAAGATTTTGCACCTCAAACATTCGGAATATCCTTCAATTGCAAACTTTGATACAATATACGGAGATGAAAATGGAAAGGCAAATCTTCCACCAATACTAGCCATGTTTATGATGCGTCCCGAGGATTTACGAAGAAGGGGAAGGAAGTGTTTGATTACCAAAACCATTCCGAAGAAATTGACATTCAGACAGTCTTTAAAATTATCTGGGGTTTGAGCCTCACAAAGACCTGTGTGTAGGGATACTCCAGCGTTGTTTATAACTGCCCAAAGGCCTGCAAAGGAAGACAGTCAATTAAATGACCAAAATTTCAGAAAGGTTTTGATGATTTTTGTTTGTTTGTTTAACATCTCTTTGTGGAGTTTTCATTCCTATTGAAACGCCACCACTTGCTTAAGGAATGCTGCAAATTTTAGACCTTTACTCGGCACTCGAGGTTGAATAGAAAGGGGTCTTAAAACACAGTCACTTGTTTCGTATATGGGGTACCCCCTCTTAATTTAACCACACTGATTCATATACGGGATACCCCTATTTATTCTCTGCTGCATTTTGCCCTATACTCGGCACTAAGGGCCATTGAGCAGGAAGAGATCTTTTTTGTGCCAGCACCTACTGCAATACGGGACCTCGGGTTTAATCAAAGGACTGGTCTCCACGGCCCACAGCGGGATTCGATTCCGCGACGAAAGGATCAGCTCTTTACTTCGCAACTCTCTGAGCAGACGCTCGGACCTTTAACCACTTTATCACTAAATATTTACAAAAACCATGAGTGTATTTATGCCCCGCCGTGAATATTGTCGGGGCATTTAGTGTTTGTTATGTCTGTCTTTCGTCCTTCCGCCACACTTTGCGTTTAGCTCAGCTCAAAGCTCAGTTTCAAAGAAACTGTCCAAGCTTTTTTCATCAAACTTTATATGAAGTTAGATATTTATGAGAGCTATGCAACTGCCTCTACATTTTTTGACCTTGACCTTTCCTTTGACCTTGACCTCACTCTTCTTAGATTTATAGTGTTTAGCACAGTTTTTAACATACCATTCAATATGGTGTTATGAAACTTCAAATGTTGATACATACTGAATTACTGATGAGAACTATTTAACTGCATCACCATTTTGACCTTGGCCTTTCCTTTGACCTTGACCCCACTTTTCTTAAATTAGTGTTCAACTCAGTTTTTAATAAACCATCCAAGATATTTTTATCAAACTTAATATATTGATAAATATTGATGAGAGATATTCAACTGCATCAGCATTTTTACCTTGACCTTTTCTTTGACCTTGACTTCACTTTTCTTAAATCAAATTGTGTTTAAGTAAGATTAAAAGACATCATTCAAGATATTTTATCAAACTTCATATGTTGATACATATTGATGAGAGATATTCAACTACATCAACATTTTTGACCTTGAACTTTTCTTTGACCTCATTTTTCCTAAATCAGTTTCAAACTTCATAGTTATACTGGTAAATACTGATGTAAGCAATTCAACTGCATCAATATTTTTTACCCTGACCTTTCATTTGACCTTGACCTCACTTTTATAAAATTTCTATGGACATATTTCCAGTATGTTTTAGAGTTTTAGATCGTTGAAATTATAGTTAAGATATAACAGGGGCGTAGTATCCGGGGGGGGGGGGGGGGGGGGGGGGGGGGGGGGGGGGCCTGCCCCCCCCCCCACTTTTTTTCCCAACCTTACTTACACGATAGGAAATGTGAATTCAAAGCCTGTTTGGCCCCCCCCCACTTTTAGAAATGTACCGAAAATGTAGTATAAGAATTGGTACTAAAAGTAGTTTACACTGAAAAAAAGTTTACCTACACCCCCCCCCCCCCCAAGAAACAAGAAAAAAATTATAATTTGGCATGTTTTTGCAATCTTATAAGTGATGTTTAGATGAATAAGGACAAGAAATGACTTGATTACAGTTGGGGTTTTGACTAATATTCACAGTCTAGCCTTTTCACCCGAGGCATTCCGAATTGCAGACCAGTTTGCACTTCGCAAGGCCTCGGTTACCAGGCTAATTCACAATCATACCTTGACCTGGTGGTAACCGATCTGTTATGCTTTTAACTGCCTCCTTAATATGTTTTTCATTGGTAATGTCTAATTGTATTGGGATCAAATATTCTGAAGGTTCCGCGTCCAACTTGAATTCTTTCAGATATCCGGCATACACATGAATTTTTCTCCTGGCGAATGTTGTAGCCGCTAGGTAACCAAACCCGGAGTCACATCCAGTTATTAGTACAAAAAGGTCACTATTTTGTCTGTTTATCCGCAGACGACGAAACAGGAAGTTGGCCGTCAGAAAAACAGTGATCAGTGCGATACCCAGAGGAAGCCACATGTCTCTTTGTTCTATAAACTGAAATGTATGTAGATGGTTGCGATATATACAGTCATGTATCATACAGTAGTATTCCCTCTAAACATTTCTTAAGATTACTTTAAAAAATTACAATCATAATAAAATATTATACATTCCAACGTGTCCTTAACCATACCAAATTATATTTCACATGCAGCATAGCAAATTATTACTTTTGTTCCATTTGATCTCTTACTCTTCGTTTTTCGTAACCAATTTAACAATTTTATATATTAATTAGCTTTTATACAATACTGTTATACATATATGATTTATATTTAATTTTTGTCACAGGTTCAGGCAAAGCATTTATTCGGAAAGAGGAGGGTTAATAAAAACTTGTGATAGGGGAGAGGGGTTGATTGTGCTTCACAATTTTAAAGGCTTCTGCAGATTCTCAAGATATCTGTTTAATTTTTAAAATTTTTAAAAACGAAAGTATCTAATAAAGCAGACAAAATAAATGATGAATATATGACCCTGACTTTTTGACCTCGAAAAGAATCTAATAGGAGTCTTTCTTATTTATCACTGCGTTGGTTTCACACCATTCGATACTGGTGTAAACAAGATGTGTTTGTGAAACACTGATGCCCCCGTATGGCAACATAGCAATGATTAAACTTTTCTGAAATGCAAATTTAATATATATGTATCAAAAGCAGGATATTCTCACCGGAAACACAATTGTGAAATATGAAAATAGGCCAAGGTTAAAGTTTTTCATAAGTACAAGATTCTCCAAGGTCAAGGTCATATTGGTGTCCACTGTCTTGTCACAAAAAATACATATGTAAAGTATGGAAGCCCTAGCCCTAGCCGTTCAGAAGTTTTGGCCAAGGTTAAAAAATTTTAAAAGTAGGTCAAACTCCAAGGTCAAGGTCAAATGTCTTGCTATTCAAATGAAAGGTCTTGTCACAAGGATTAATAGGGGTCTTCGTAAGGACACGAGTTAACTAGTAGTTGTTATGTAAATTTTCATTCCAAAAGCTCAAAATGTTCTGGAGATATGTGCGCGGAAACGAGTGTTACAGACAAACAGAAAGGCGGGCTGACGGGTAGACACACTTAAAATGCCCCTTCCTTTTACGTTTATTCCTATGATAAGCCTATAAACACTGGTATCTGAAGTAAATTGAAAGTTTTACACACAAAGGGGGGGGGGCTAATTGTATGAGAAAAAAACCCCCCCCCAAAAAAAAAACAACAACAACAAAAACAAAAACAAAAAAAAAAAAACAGACGAACAAAAAAAAAAAAAAATCGGAAAATTTCTCCTTTGTCCAAATACGAAAATCCTTAGGCTATTTTGGGTGTATAAGATCCGACAAAGTTCTTAATTTCTGTTCGTTTTTTTTCAAACACAACCACTTTAAAAAGGCAGCAGGGGCCATGTTCTAAATTTTGAATTTACCGGGTGGTAGCAAAATAAAAAGGGATATACAATACAGTAGGCGGCTAAGCCTATAAAACAGGTGCATGGCATCCATGGCATCAACGGGATCGAGTGGGCATGGCCGGGGGCATATAGGCCTATATAGCCCCTTTTCCAGACACACAACTTTTTTTCTATTGAAACAATTTCTTCTTAAATGTTCATTGAATGTCTGAATACCACCCAGGGACCTATATACTAAGTATACTTAGTATATAGGTCCCTGCCCCATCCCACTTTTTGTTGCAAATGTATTATTGAGGAAAGTATTTGACCCCCCCCCCCCCCCGGATTTTCCTTTTTTTATGCTTTTTTAAGCTTCTCAAGATTTTCAGGCAAGTTGATTTTTTTTATCTGGGCTTCTCTTTAAAAAGAAAAAAAGGATGCTACGTCTCTGTTGAGTATGACTGTGCATAAAATGTCATGTGTCATCGCCACTTACTGGCTTTGGATCCGCATGATCACACATGGTTTAGCATATTTTGTCTGCCATATCTCATATTAAGAAGAAATGATGATGAAAGAGTAAGCATAATAATAATTAAGAAGTTCGAAGTATTGTTGCAATTGTTTATAAACCTCCCTCGGTATAGTTGTTGCAATAAATAATCTATATCCTGTTCTAATTTATGAATTTTTACACACCTTAGCTCTGACCTACCAAATCACTGCCCACCGCCTTGCTCCGCAGATAAAAATAGTTGGCTGAGAATGTTCTGGTTTGCATGTAAAATTCTCATTTTCTATATGAAATATTATATCTTTATATACTAATAAAATATTATTTTAAATCCCTAATACTTTAAAAAGATCTTATGAAGTAGTCTCGACTTTAACAATCTCACCACGAAAACCACAAGAAAAAGTAGTTCTAGTTAATGCTAAAATGACGTCATCCTATATTTGTTGACCAATGGGATAATTCGTCTGCGGAAACTCTGGTGTAAGAATACAAAGTATGCGGTTCTTGTTGTTTGGGATATGTGACGCTGATCGTGTAATTTGACGTGGCGACTACGTATTCTGCAAATTTATCCAGTCCGATTGCTGCAAAATTGGTGACGAAAAGTACGCAAGTGGTAAGTACTCGACTGACGAAATACAACAGCTGATTAGAATCGGTGTTTACACGAGAAATGGACCTGAGACTAAAAGTGTGAATTTATCAAACATGGATGAATGTATGTGGATTGTGGTATTTCCTTTTCACTCATTTATTTTTCAACTGACTTTTCCCGGGAATTTTTGGATTGTTTTTCTTTTATTTTTCACTGCACCCGGTTTGAGTTTTGTTGAAAATCAGTTACTTTGTTGAAAATTTGTTTTAAAAAAATGTTTAAGAATTGTTTTGTATGATTCAAATATTCTTAAAGCATCCTGTCATTGTGGTTGACAATGGGGATTAGGGCCTATTGAATTAAAAAAAAAAGTGCGCGATTTTTCCTTCATCAGAAATAATTAATGTAACAGTTAACCTTACCTGTCAAAATTTGGTATAGGTGAAAAACATTTTGTCAAGATTTTCCTTTTCAAAGAACATGAAGAAATAATCGATTATTTAATGTTAACAAAAACTTAATTTCAAAATGTACAGACATAGCATTGTAGATTATGCTAATGAAATAAAAAGTTTAATTAGGCCTAAGCATACAGATGGGACCTGTAGTACAAGTATCTATAGGAATCACTCAGCAGCAAAGCAGCCTAATGTAGTAATGTATATTTTCAGGCTATTAATTATGAATAAAATGTCTTTTAAAACAAAATTTTGAAAAATACAACAAATTTGCAAAAAATATACTGTCAACACAGTTTTTTTGCAAATGATCATAAAGTTGGAAATAATTTTTCATAATTTGATTGGGATCAATATAAATTTATAATGTAGCAGTTATTGATGAAACATTGTGTAACAGGAAGGGAGAAAATGTATTTGGCTGGACTGGGAATCGAACCTGGAACCCCTGCATCACTAGTCAGGTGCTCTACCGACTGAGCTACCCAGGCCGATATCCACTGACCAAACCATTACAATTGGTTCAGAAAAAGAAGCCATTTTAAATACGGATAAACATGACAAACTTATTATTTTTTTAAAATGGTAAAAGAAGATATAAATATTGTAATCAGTTTTGTAGTGACTAGTGAAGTATACTTATTAAAAAAAATGAGTAATTTGGGCTACCAAAGCAAAACTTGTAATTTTTAAAAACTTCCAACATTTATTATATTGTAAAAATTAAAAAAAAAAGAAAGAAATTAAAGAAAAAAATGAAATGTTGAAGCATTGAACATAGCCACTTTTGTTTCTGTGAGAATTGATAAAGACGAGAAAATTATCCAAAAGTTTAAACTCAATTAGCCCTTTCACAATAACTGTGATACAGCTCTTTTCCATCTCCTGGCGAAATAATAATGTTTGGCAAAGTTTTTGTCGAAAGTTAATAAAATAGTGCATATTAAACAATTGCATTTGTCGTATTTTATGTCATACCCACTAAAATATGTATCATTTTTGCCCTGCAAAAGAGTACTGCAGCTATCAAGAAACTTTTCTTTATGGTAAAACTTTGAGACATGAATACTAAAGAAAAACCATATTACTGGTTATAATGAAACGAATCAATGATATGTCATTAAAATCCATCAGTGACACCTCTTTTTCCCAATGAAGAATTTTTTTTTACCTAAATTGAAGTGTTTTTCTTCTGTAACTTACTTTTCCTAGGCTTATTGAATAATTGCATGTCTTTGACTTCTGATAGATGAAATTTTAAAGGGTTGAAATTATTCTTGATTTGAAAAAAATATATTGCTGTCTCTTCAGAAAAAGTGGATAAAACGTGATGATGTTTTGTTTTTTATCTAACAGAGATGACAGAAGTAAGTTCTTCACAAGCAGCAGATTTAGAGACCAGTTCTGGAATATCTATGGTACATATGCCCTCGCTGAACCAGCCCATTCAAGTCCAGTCTGTCATTCATTCCAACACCCCCTCCGTGATTCAGACCGCTGGGCCTAATGTACAGACCATCCAAGTGGTTCGGGTACGTATATACAATTTGTCATTGTAAATTTATCCAAACTGGTGTGTGTTGTGTGTGTTTGGGGGGTTGTTTATGTACCATATAGCGTCAGCCAAAGGTTACTGTTTGAATACACACACTAAGAAGTATTTAACTTACATTTCACAAGTGGCAGAGGAAATTGTATCAATTTTGAAAGAATTAAATACTGGAAAATTATTTTGAGTGACAGAATAAAAATCTGATACATACTATGATCATGCTTGTATAGGTAAAGCAGCAATTATGAAAAGAACAAAAGGATAGTATCGTTGCTATTAATCCTGTTATATTCATGTATTTCTTCATTTTATTTTTATTGTATGCAGTTCTTTATAAATTTGTTTTAAATTCATTGAATATTGTTTAAAAGACTTATTGTAAAGAGCCCTCTTGACCTCTGGTTTATCAAATAACCCAAAATATTACAAAAAACCCAATTATTTTGAAGGTGGCACCAGTAGACGAAGATTTGTCAGATGATTCTGAAAATAAGAAAAGGCGTGAAATGCTCTCAAGACGGCCTTCATACAGGTATATATAGCTCTGTTTAAACTTAACACAAGTAGACTTTCATCATCTCTTTCTTGACCTTATGTATTATTTATTAATGTTTTTTAGATCTAACATTTTTTGCTCTTGTGTTTTGGATAATTCATGTCGGATAGGAGTATTACAAGTGTATTTGATATACATGTACTTTGTTCATAAAAAATAGGTCAAATTTATTATGATGTGTGTGATATTACATGCAGGTATCACGTCACATTTAATCTAGATCGTTAAATTGACAAAGTAAGTTATATTGGCTAAAACATATTGGATTTCAATCTTTTAATTATCATGATTTGTAGAAATAGAATCCACTTCTTTTGATAGAAGTCATGATTGGCTCTTTTATTTTTCCTGCTACTATATGTTGTAAACATTTTGTAGGAAAATATTGAATGAACTTTCCTCACCGGTGGCAGTGTCCAAGATAGAAGAGGAGTCCAACAGCAGCCAGAGTCAAGACGGAGATTCCCCAGAGGGAGCCTCAAACTTATCCGGGGTTCAATACCAACAAGGTATTTTTACCACAGATTTAATTTGGGTTTTATCAGGGATTCCCCTTTGGGGGCCTCCAACTTATCATGGGGTTCAGTATCAACAAGGTATTCTTACCACAGATTTAATTTGGGTTTTATCAGGGATTCCCCTGAGGGAGCCTCAAATTTATCCGGGGTTCAGTACCAACAAGGTATTCTTACCACAGATTTAATTTGGGTTTTATCAGGGATTCCTCCCAAGTTTTCCTGTAACAAACATTTTTGAATATCTGCTCTATGTGTCTAATATCTGATAAACATTTTCAGTACTACCTGCAGGGACGATACAGATTTCTGGAAATTCTGATGGTGTGGCAGTGTCCCAGGGCCTACAGACACTGACAATGACAAACGCAAGCCCCTCAACTACCTCTGCTACGGGGGCCACCATAGTACAGTACGCACAAGGTCCTGATGGACAGTTCTACATCCCTGGTATGTGACACTGTTAGATAATATACATTTATTGACCGAGTTCAAGGGCAACATGAGTTTTGTCGGACCCACGAACCAAACTGTTTTTAATTAAAAGTGGAAAGTACAAATGTAGAAGATATGCTGTATCCATATGATTATCAGACCCGTGACTTTTCATTTAAATGAAGCAATCCATGGTAAAGTTTCTTGTGTGTTTGTTAAACAATTTTCAGTGCCTTTCAATGGTAATGTTGCAAAAAGCAAATACTGTGAAATCACTAATTTTCGTGGGGTTTAATATTTGTTTTCAAGGTTTGAAGAGACCCATATGTTGTTCACCATGAAATGCAATTTTTCACATATATTACTACTGAACAGTTTTTCAATCACTAACCAAATCCCCCATGAACAAAAATTTTATCCTCAAACCAAGAAATTTTGATCCCTCAGGGTAGAAACTCCCTAAAATCATAACTCGCAAGTAATTTACAAGTACCAAAAAATAAGAACTCACAATTTCTAACTACAACTCGCAATTTTAAAATGAAAGCTTTTCAAAAATAAACAGCTTTCTATCCATCATTTAGAAAACTTTGCAATTTTCAACATGATCATCAAATGGCACATGCTTGTTCATTTAAAAATGGCAGATATAAACAGTAACTAAAGAGAGAAAGACTAAAACTGGGTTGAAACGGATGTTTCTTTCCTGGGTGAAAATTACAATGAAAAAATCAACTCGCAAATTTTTGCGAGTAACAAATATTTAAACTGGCAATTTGGATATTCTAAATGCGAGTTGTATATAGTGAATTTCAAACCCTGCCCCTTGAAAATAAGTGATTTTACAGTAAGAGTCTTGATAGAGAAGGATAGAAATATATTTAACACAACAATTTGTAAATCACAAATCAAATCCCCCATGAACCAAAATTTTATCCTCAAACCAAAAAATTTTGACCCCTTGAAAATTTGTGATTTCACAGTAAGAGTCTTAATAGAGAAGGATAGAAATATTTTAACACAACAATTTGAAGTGATTAAAGGTAAAGTCACTTTTACTTAGAAAAGAAAAATTATTTTCTTTCATAGATATGTCAGGAACAGTCCAGGCCTATCAAATTGCCACATCAGGGGCTTTACCCCAAGGTGTTGTAATGGCAACGACTGGAAGTCCCATGTCAAGTCCACAGAATTTGTCTGAGGAAGCTTCACGGAAGAGGGAATTACGACTTCTGAAAAACAGGTACTATCACTAAATTTTGGCGACACATTATTTATGTGATGTAGTAATTTAAGAGCGAGACAAAATTTTTACCAATGCGGTTATTGCTTTGCGTAATCTATAACCAATACACGTGAGAATGATATTTTTTCGCGAGTACAATCCCTTGTGTAATTACGCAAAAATAAAGTTCTTGCCATTAAAAAGTCATTTACGGTATGATATTGGAGGAGGGGTTCATACAGAGCTAATGTTCATTGCATGGCTATAATTAGTACTCTAAATTTTTTGTTCGAGTCTCATCTATGAATTTTACACTGACTCTATTGACAGTATTATATAATTCTTTATGTCTTTATGAACTGTAAGGCTGTAAAGAATAAATACATCAACATACTGTTTACTTTAAAATGATTGTGAGAGGAAATTTTGTGAATTTTACGATAAGGAAAGTTTTTAAACATATTTTGCCCCGTGAACATTGTTAAGAGAGAATGTGCTACAGATATTGAATGAATATTTGGGATTCTTTAACATCCCCTTAATATAAATCTCCACAGTTTCACAGTAGTTAAGTTTAAGTGTAAAAAAAAAAATATTTACATTATCAAATTTTTATATGTTACAGAGAAGCAGCACGTGAGTGTCGGAGGAAAAAGAAAGACTATGTAAAGTGTTTGGAAAACAGAGTGGCTGTTCTAGAGAATCAAAACAAGACATTGATTGAGGAATTAAAGGCATTAAAAGAACTCTATTGTCAGAAGGAGGGATAGTCCTTCGTCACACAAAGGAATTCTGGGATTGCTTGTTTTGGTCTAACAGTGCTAATGTGAACATGCAATTAGATGTTACGGGTCCGTGCCAGGACATTTATTCCGCATCTAGTGACCAAGGGAACGTCGTTATGTCTATATTTTTGTACAGAAGAGAATTGATTGGCCAGGAAAAAATATTTTTCGTCATGCATATATTCCTGTTGTTTTGCAAAGGCACCTTACAAAGCATTTAGTGTATTTTATTAAAGAAAGAGAGAGAGTGAGAGATTTTTATAAATTGATGTAAAGCGTGATGATACTTGCAGATGTTTGTAAAATCTCGTGTGTTACGTTTTATATATTTACAATACTTCAACGTTATGTTTCATGTGCAGCTTTCAGATTCATGTTAATTGTTGCATACATTGCTCAGAATTTTTTACAAGCGTGTCTCTTTAAATATATGCCTTCTGATATAGATGAGCTGTACAGCGTCATGATTTTATTTTTTTATTTTTTTGCATTTCGAAAACTTGAAATATAAGAAAATAAAATTTAAATTGGTATTAATGGTGGCATATGTTTATAAATAAATGATAAATACATGAATTTTAATTAATTACCTTTAGAAATAAATGATTACAAGCAGCATTGTTTTTATAGCAAGTTCTACATATCATGTATGGTCAAATACATGTTTTTAAGTTTCTTGTCATCAGAAAGGACAGATATATTTTAAGTTTTGTTTTTGTTTACAAGTTTTCAACAAACAATAATTTTGGTTAGTCACATTAAGAAAGGAAAAGGATAAAAGGGTAAAATTAACTTAAAACTTTGATTTGGAATAGAATGTCATTTGCACCCTGATCATATATCACTTGTAGATAATAAATATAGATACATGTAAGTAGCATTGTTTCAAGTAGCTTTTTTCCCATATAGCTCTCTTGTTCAAATTGTCTTCTTAACATTTATAAAGTTTTTCAGTGATGGACATGTATTCTATGTAATAATCGGAATTGTCTGGATACACTCACAGCTTCTATGTATATGCCCTCACTATTTTCACCGAGTTTTTGTCAAGATGTTAGATGACATAAAAATGTTTTTCAAATGAATGCTTTGATGGACTGTACATGTATCAGTTTTATCAATTTTCAGTTGTAAATTCTTTTTTGCTATGCTACATATTCAAATATATCACTATCTGTGTGTTGCATTTTAAGAGATTTTTCTGCAAAGTGAGCTTTGTGGACAAATTATGAATAACTGAATCAATTACGATTTCCTTCCTGTCATATTTTTTGCATAAGATACATGTGAAACAGCACTCAATAAAATCTAAGTCTCGTGTCATATTCCATGCAAACTTGCCAAGAAATAGTAAAACACATTCTTAAAAAAGAAACGTCATTACACATTATAATCTGTGAAAAGTTAAATATTTGAATATGTTTATTACCAGCCCTCTTGCTAGACAAAAAATAGTTACTTACACAGCATTAATCAGCAAACAAATTTATTCCTAAAGAATCAACTTCTCTGGAAGTGTTTAATACATAATGTACATAATTTTTGTCATGTTTGAAGTCTTGAGAGATTTGCAAGTACATAAATTTGTTTTTTGTAGAAAATTGTGTTCAATTTTTGGCATATAAACTTTGAGATGTAGAGGATTTAAAAAGGAAAGGAGGATATAGGAGGATATAGCATGGAATAATTCTCAAAGCAAGGACAATGTTAAGTATTGTCTACAGAGAGATTTTTACGAAAATTTATTAAAAAGCCCAATTTTTTTTTTTTTTTTTTTGATATCTTGGATAAAATTTTGTCCAGTGATATTGTTATATGTTATTGAGAGAGTCACTTGATATTTTAATAAAAAATAAATTATGTCAATGAATGAGTTTGTTTTGTATTGAACTGTCCTGTTGTATAAAAAAATACTTTAAGATACTATGTTATCATATCTTGATTTGATGGATAGTAGAAGAGAATTTTTCTGGCATGAAAACCCCCCAAAATATTTTTCCTCCAATGTCCACTTTTGTTTTGTTGTTCAATGTCCCTTCCAGTATTTTTCTCTTGATATTTAGACACCACCACTTGCTAATGAAGGACTGCTTTAGTTCTCAGGGATGTTTCTAGCATTGAGAAATCTTTTTTCATGTCACCACCTAACATAAAATGGGACCCGGTTTAAAAGCTTTGAACTGAATAGCCAGATTCCTTACTATGGGTTTCAAATCCAAGATGTAAGAATCAACACCTTATTATACACCCCACAAACAAAGTTTGGGGGGGGGGGTATATAGGGATCAACTTGTCCGTCCGTCTGTCTAGCTGTCCATCTTTCTGTGCAAACGTGTCCGGTCATTTGGGGAAGTTCAAGGTCACTAAAAGAAAAATTTCATAATTTGTGTCCGGTCCACATCTTTTTAGCTCACCTGAGCCGAAGGCTCAAGTGAGCTTTTCTGATCACATTTTGTCCGTCGTCCGTCCGTCTGTCTCTCCGTCTGTCTGTCTGTCCGTCTGTAAACTTTTCACATTTTCGACTTCTTCTCAAGAACCACTGGGCCAATTTTGACCAAACTTGGTACAAAGCATCCTTGGGTGAAGGGGAATTTAAATTGTTAAAATGAAGGGCCAAGTCTCCTCACAAGGGGAGATAATCAAGAAAAGACAAAAATAGGATGGGGTCATTAAAAAATCTTCTCAAGAACCACTGGGCCAGAAGAGCTGAAACTTATGTGGAAGCATCCTGGGGTAGTGTAGATTCTAAATTGTTCAAATCATAACCCCCGGGGGTAGGTTGGGGCCACAGTGGGGAATCAAAGTTTTACATAGAAATATATAGGAAAATTCTTTGAAAATCTTCTCCTCAAGAACCACTGGGCAAGAAAAGCTGAAACTTATGTGGAAGCATCCTGGGGTAGTGTAGGTTCTAAATTGTTCAAATCATGACCCACGGGGGTAGGGCAGGGCCACAATTGGGAATCAAAGTTTTCCATAGAACTATATAGGAAAAATCATTGAAAATCTTCTTCTCAAGAACCACTGGGCCAGAAGAGCTTTCTTTAAATTGTTCAAATCATGACCCCGGGGGTAGGGCGGGGCCACAATTGGGAATCAAAGTTTTCCATAGAACTATATAGGAAAAATCTTTGAAAATCTTCTTTTCAAGAACCACTGGGCCAGAAAAGCTGAAACTTATGTGGAAGCACAGGTAGTGTAGATTCTAAATTGTTCAAATCATGACCTAAGGGTGGGGCCACAATTGTGTCCATAGAACTATATAGGAAAAATCTTTGAAAATCTTCTTTTCAAGAACCACTGGGCCAGAAGAGCTGAAACTTATGTGGAAGCATCCTAGGGTAGTGTAGATTCTAAATTGTTCAAATCATGACCCCCGGGGGTAGGGTGGGGCCACAATTGGGAATCAAAGTTTTCCATAGAACTATATAGGAAAAATCTTTGAAAATCTTCTTTTCAAGAACCACTGGACCAGAAAAGCTGAAACTTATGTGGAAGCATCCTAGGGTAGTGTAGATTCTAAATTGTTCAAATCATGACCCCCTTTGAGGAATCAAAGTTTTACATAGAAATATATAGGAAAAAGAAAATCTTCTTCTCAAGAACCACTGGACCAGAAAAGCTGAAACTTATGTGGAAGCATCCTAGGGTAGTGTAGATTCTAAATTGTTCAAATCATGACCCCCGAGGGTAGGGCGGGGCTACAATGGGGAATCAAAGTTTTACATAGAAATATATAGGAAAAATCTTTGAAAATCTTCTTCTCAAGAACCACTGGGCAAGAAAAGCTGAACTTGTGTGGAAGCATCCTGGGGTAGTGTAGATTCTAAATTGTTCAAATTATGACCCCCGTGGGTAGGGCGGGGACACAATGGGGAATCAAAGTTTTACATAGAAATATATAGGAAAATTCTTTGAAAATCCTTCTCAAGAACCACTGGGCCAGAAAAGCTGAAATTTATGTGCACATCAAAACATCCTGGGGTATTGTAGATTTCAAAATGTCTAAATCATGATCAGTGGGGTAGGGTGAGGTCGCAATATGTATTAAAAGGGGGAAATCTGGTAAAGAACAGAATGGTCAAAGCTTCTCAGGTGAGCGATGTGGCCCATGGGCCTCTTGTTTAAGGATAAACTTGGTAGGATCTCATTTCACACAAAGATTGCCCATGACCCAAGGGTGTGTCATGACCTTGATCCAAGGTCATTTGGGGTAGTTCAAGGTCACTGGAAGAAAAATTTCATAATTTGTGTCCGGTCCATATCTTTCTTATTGATAAATTGGTAGGTTCTTATTTCACACAAAGATTGCCCATGACCTAAGGGTGTGTCATGACCTAAACTCAAGGTCATTTGGGGAACATCAAGGTCACTGGAAGAAAAATTTCATAATTCCTGTTTGATACATATCTTTATTATGGAAAAACTTACTTCAGAAAAACCCAGCTGGGGTATTTTGTCCCTTTTGGACAGTTCTAGTTCCATTAGATATTTTCAGGCAATGTTGACGTCAACTTTTTGGAGAAAATATTTCTCTGCCAATGTCATGCGCACAGGCACTTTTTCGTATATATACGCGGCACCCCTACTTATTTTTATGTGGTAAAACTAAGTAGGGGGGCCCTGTATACGAAGCAAGTGCCTGTGGTCAAGGGGCAGGGTCTTCCTGTATTCCATCAATGTTTTAGCCACAGGGCTGAATGTTATGGGGTAGGAACTTCCTGTAGGCCATCAATGGTTTAGCCCCAGGACTCAATGTTAAGGGGCAGGGATTTCCTGTAGGCCATCAATGGTTAAGCCCCAGGACTCAATGTTAAGGGGCAGGGACTTTCTGTAGTTCTTCAATGACCATCAATGGTTTAGCCCCAGGACTCAATGTTAAGGGGCAGGGACTTCCTGTAGGCCATCAATGGTTTAGCCCCAGGACTCAATGTTAAGGGGCAGGGACTTTCTGTAGTTCTTCAATGACCATCAATGGTTTAGCCGCAGAACTCACTTTTAAGGGGCAGGGACATCCTGAAGTCCTTCAATGTTTTAGCCCCAGGACTGAATGTTAAGGGTCAGGAACTTTCTGTAGGCCATCAATGGTTTAGCCCCAGGCCTGAATGTTTAAAGACAGGGACTGTCTGTAGTCCATCAATGTTTTGGCCCCCAGGGCTGAATGTTATGGGGCAGGAACTTCCTGTAGGCCATCAATGGTTTAGCCCCAGGACTCAATGTTAAGGGGCAGGGACTTTCTGTAGTCCTTCAATGGCCATCATTGGTTTAACCCCAGGACTCAATTTTAATGGGCAGGGACTTCCTAAGTCCTTCAATGTTTTAGCCCCAGGACTGAATGTTAAGGGTCAGGAACTTTCTGTAGTCCATCAATGTTTTAGCCCCAGGGCTGAAGATGACAGACTTGCCACTTGTCCTGGTGGTTGTGCATAGTAGTAAAATCAACGGAGTCTTTAATCTCAATCTTCAATCTCATCATTGGATGAGAGACTCTCCAATGAAAACATCATTCAATAAAGTGATTATTTTTATATAAAATTAGATGAAGAATTTCATTTTTTCCCCTTTAAAATGCGCATGTACTGATAAATAACAGCTTCTATGACTGTTAAGTTTTTAAAAAATATATGAAGACCAGTAGTCATACTAAACAATAAATACAACATTGATTGTAGAGAAATATTAATAGCTGACTCCTGAAAACTGCAGAAGTGGGATCAGATGCTATGAAGGACAAAACATCTCCTGTCCATCAGTCACACACACCCTGAACCCTTTGTAAGCTCTTTCGAGCCAAAAGCACGATGACTATTTGTGCAGTGTGTCAACTTTTTTGGAATATGGACTTTATTTTCACTATCTAATCGATATAGCACCACCCTAACTCAAGAGCCCCTGACCCTGGGGCCATGAAATTCACAATTTTGGAAGAGATGTTACATAATTAATACAGCCCCGCCCTAACACCAGAACCCCTAACCCCAGGGCCATGAAATTCACAATTTTGGAAGAGGCAGCTTTATTCAACATAACTATGTATTCGGTTTGTTTATCAAATACCCAGGAGCAAAGAAGAAGATTTTCAAAGAAATAATGCATTTTCACTATATAATCTATATAGCCCCGCCCTAGCACCTAAGAACCCCTGACCCTGGGGCCATGAAATTCACAATTTTGAAAGAGGTAACCTTATTCAACATAACTATGTACTTATTTAGTTTATTTAATGCCCAGGAGCAGAGAAGAAGATTTTCAAAGAAATAATGCATTTTCACTATATAATCTATTTAGCCCCGCCCTAGCACTACAGCCCCTGACCCCAGGGCCATGAATTTCAAAATTTTGATAGAGGACTCAATGCTGATTACAATCATGCCAACAATTTGACTGCTTGATGTCCAGGAGTAAAGAAGAAGATTTTTAAAGATTGCAATAATTTTAGTGGTTTTGGCCCCACCCCTCAGGCCCCAGGGGGGCCGGGACCATGAAATTCACAATTTTTGTTCCCCTTCATCCATAGATACTTTATACCAAATTTGGTTGAAATTGGTGTAGTGGTTCCAGAGAAAAAGCTAAAAATGTTCAAAAGTTTACGACCGACGTACGACGACGGACGAAAAGAGATAGCAATAGGTCACCTGAGTTTACTGTGAATTGGAAATGGTTGTCAGTTTGGTTTTGTATAGAACGTTAGACATTACTGAGAATACTCAGTACCTCAATGGTGACGGAGTTGATAAACCTTGACTCGTTTATCTTCCAATTTAAATAAGACTTGAATTAGGCTGTTCTTTGGTTTTTAGAGAGATGGCATACCACAAAAGTGGGGGGGGGTGTGCCAGGAGACTTGGACTTTGTACCTTAATTTGAAGTGGCAGGACCAGAAGAAATTTGCTTGCGGGAGACACCCGTTGTCCAATCAAGAGGAAACCCATTTTTCATTGTACAATAATTGCACATATTGGATTTAGTCAACCAAAAATCTGAATTAACAGATTAACGAACGAGCGTAACGCTTCGGTGATACAAGTTATATCACCACACACCAGCTCGGCCGCTTTGCACTTTACAAAAGAAGCACACTTACTTCCAATTGAAATACAAACAAATCTTTGGACCTAAGCATAAGAAATGAATAAGTTGACATGTTATTGTACATCGATAAACTCAAAATAAAAAAATCCTGCAAAATGAAAACTAACATGAGACCGTTTTTCCCATGAGCAATAGGACAAAAACAGATTTTGAAGTTATATTTGATGTCAAATGGTTGTACAAACCTTCGTAAAATGCAAAAATGTGGACGTGTAGACGTTGCCGTGACTTACACCGAATTTGCATTTTACGAAGGTTTGTACATTACGATTTGACGTATATTTACGTGAAAATCTTTGTTTGTCCTATTGCACTTGTAGAAAAATACAAAGCTCAATATAATCTTTAAGGTACATATACTTGTGTAAATCTTCATAGTTCCATTTCTGTTATTGAAAAAGCACTTGCCTATCATGTCAAAAGTTTGGTCTTTTGTTTATATTGAGAAATGGTTATTTAACGTGAAGAAAAGTCATATGTTTTTATATTATTGATTTTCAAAAAAGTTGGTCTTTGTGTATGAGAATTTACAGTAAAGCATTGTTAAGCACGTAATTCAAAAATTCAAACTTTTGAAAACCATTAAATTTAAGAACCTCTAATATCAACTAATTTGTACTTTTGTTTCTGAATTAGGCTATTTTAAGTCTTTTTTCTCTGTTTAGCGTCCACTCATATTTAAAAAAGAGAACTTTTCTACTTATTCGCGAAAAACAAACAAGCCACCAAAATAAAACAGGTTTTACAGTCCTAAAATGACGCCATTTTAAAAACGATTTGAGTTCATAAACCTATTTTTCTTAAAAAAAGCTCACTTTCTTAGCAAAATGAAAGTAATTAATACTTCAAATATACCTCAAACAACATATTCTAAACAAATCTATAGTAAAATTGATATAATTCAAAGCTTTTGATCAGAATAATTAATTTCAGCACTCCAGACTTTGTCTGATTTTTTTCTGACAAGGCGCACGCAGACGCTAAACTGTAAAAACTTGGTATGATCTTATTTTAATGATCATTTAAATTTTGTTCCCCTTGTCACACCCATATATATTTCTTAAAATCATGAATTTAACATTTGTTAGTCCACTTGCGTCCAGCTGTACAGTATTAATAGATTAACCACTAGCTTTTGTTACTGGCCCCGTCCTAGTTCTAATTTCTGACTCTATTTTTTGTTAATTTAACTTATCAATATTCGCGCACACAGCAGATCGTTAAATTTAAATACCAAAATCTCCACAAATTTAAATACTATTAATGCAAACCACTGCCTGCATGCTTAGAACAAATAAAGTAATTTGAGCAGAATACATGTGTCTATGAGAAGAACGTTCATGGATTGAGAAATACTACTTTCACACGCCTAGCTGAAGCATACAGAAAGGTTTAATTAAAATCGAATCGGTTTTCTGGAATAAAGAAGATGGCAAACTTTGTCGGAACCTGGGAGGACACCGGAGAAAGGGAAGGTTATGAAGAATTTGCCAAGGCCATGGGTAAGAGTAACAGAGCTTGAGTATACGTTTAACACAATTAAGTTGTTTTTGAGCACTTGAACCATGGATCAAATCATTTGATTTTGGTCAGTATTTCCATGGTTGCTGGTTCAAGACCCTGCGGAAACTTGATTTTGTGTCCTTAGATAAAGGAATCATCTGCTTTGACTTAGTTTATTCAGCTGAAATTAAGTGGTTACCGCCTTGTTTAGGATTAAAGTTAACCCAATCTAATTTTAAAAAATCAAACTTAGACCGTCGCCGGCGTGACATAGTGGTTAGACCCTCTGCTCTAGAGTCGCAAAGTAAGGAGTCAATCCTTACATCGTGGGTTCGAATCCCACTGTGGGACGTGGAGACCGCTGCTTCAGATGAGACCGTATAAACCGAGGTCCCGTGTCGCAGTAGGTGCTGACACGAAAAAGATTCCTCCCTGAGTATAGGACAAAATTTGCAGCTCTCCACCGGCAAGTGGTGGCGTCTCCATATGAGTGAAACATTCTCGAGAGGGACGTTAAACGATATACAATCAATCAATCGATCTTAGATTCACGACATATACACTCTTATGCAGAGTGTATACGGCGCGGATCCTTGTAGTCAGATTTAAATGATTTATTTAAGGAATCACTGTCTAATTAGTAGAGTATGCCAAAGCAGCAACGATAGAAGCTTTGGAAACGTGGGATAATATTTGCATAACAGTGATTCCGTATATTTTCATTTCATTGTGAAAAAAATTGTAAATTTAGATTTTAAAAAGACAGTCACACAAGATTTACATGCATATTAGCCTCCTTGGCTCATGACATATTGCTTGTTGAAATTCCCCCAAATATGAAAACTCGACCCCATGAATTTATCTGATTTTACAGTTAAAGAATATTGAAACTTAAAATGAATTTTTTGACAATCTATTTAAAAAAAGATTTTTTTTGACTAGATGGAAAAGGATGAAAAATTAATCTTCAAAATCGAAGAGCATACATCGTATATGATATAGAAAAAAAAATCATCTGGCCTGGAGGCCATAAACTAAGACGAGCTCACTTTTAATCTCAGTCTCACTTTTCCATTATTAATTCCTTTGTAAAAAGTGAGGCTGAGATCAAAAGTGAGCTCGTCTAAGCTTTATGGCCCCAAAGCCTGGACATACGAGGGCCGTTCAAAAATTACGCGGACTTGTTGCACAGAAGAAATATTTGACGACATAATCGGGCAAAATTTCACGAATAATATAAAAGAATCTTTACTTGTATGGTCTTCAAAATTTCATATCAAAATGTTGTAAATAGGTATTAATTTTGAGTGATTTTTCAGGACATACCATTAAGTCACGGCGCAGCAAAATCTTCGACGTCACAAGCATTATAAAAAATTTCTGATTGAGCTTTCATTTTCTCAACATTTTCCCTTGAGTACCTGTATAGACTAGTTTGAGTTACCTTATCTACTCAACATCAAAACACCATTTCTTGTCAAGCTTAAAATCTATTAAACAAGTAAAGAATATTCTTCTTTTTTTTGTTTAAAACCAAAAACTATTTATCACGAGATATAGTGTGATATTGGTGACTCTCAATCACGTTAACTTTTCGTCTATAATCCTCTTCCCGTCCTCCCGTATAGCCTTTTTACAGAGGTCTAACTGTCTAAAATTTCAATTTGCTATTTGTGGGCGAATGTCACGAGTAGCCTAGTTTACTACATGTTTTATTATGCATATTTTGGATCTATGTTGCCGATATCTCGAGCATTACACATATTAAACAAAAGTGTGGTGCGCCGTCAATTCAGAAGACGTCATTTTCACAGTCGTTTTCACGGGAATTGCAACAGAGAAAAATCACTATATTTCTGTTAGTACTTCAAATATTACGTCCGAAATCTAAATACATAATAATAGAACAATTTAAAGGTACATTTGAGAAAATTGTTGAAAAATATCGCGAATTTCAGAAAATCAATGAGTTAAATTTTTGAATCCGCATGCTTTTGCTTCAATTTTTTTGTCATGCGCCATACCTCTCCATCAACGATTTCAACATACAGATAATTTTAGTAGAATTTTTTAAAATACAGAAATTTTGCCCAAAATTTATTTGAATCTTTCAGATACATATTTCTGTGAAATTTTATAACTATATGACGTCTGTAAGAGTAAATAATAGCACAGTCCGCGTAATTTTTGAACGGCCCTCGTATGCATATATAATCGTTTTTGTTTTAAAGAGGCAATTAATTTTTTTTTTCTTCACGTGTCATATTTACAGGTTTAAGTGATGAAATGTTTGAGAAGTTTCGAGGCACAAAGCATACAATGAAATACAGCATCAACGGAAATACGTGGACGCTAAATTTGTCAAGTACATTTTTTCCGGGAAAAGAGAAAACTTACACATTTGAAATTGGAAAGGAATTCTGCGATACCGGATTAGACGGAAAAGAAATCAAGGTTAATATTAAAATGATAGTAACTCCATGAGGAGAAATTAACACCATAGATTGGTGCTTATTTCCCCTTGAATCGTTAAAATATTTTGATTAGTAGGAGCATTTTGTTTAAGGTAGTCCGATATAGAATTCCCCATGAAAATCATCAATTAAGTTGATGAGATTCTGGTACACACAGAGATGTCTCTAAATATTTCTTTAGGCAAGTGAATTTCCTTATATAACAAGAAATCAATATAAACATCATTAATACTTTTTTCTAATTGATTAGGCACACCTGTTTATCTCAAGAAGAAAAAACTTTAGGTATCAAATCATCAGAAGAAAATTTTAGGATTTTTATTCTTTTGATTTAGTAGACAGTTTTAAAATCCATAGTGCAATCAATTAAAAATATAAATCACTTCTGCTTTCATACCATACTAATAAGAATTGATATATATACGACGAAAATAATACCGGTAAGCATCGACACACGACAAAGATTGAATTTGATTTCTCTAATATGCACGAATTGACTGTACAACGAGTGCATTTGCATAGTCAAAGAATGCCAACATTCACCAATATAATATCTTTTTATTTAATAAAACAGTTCTACAGTAACACATAGTTAGAAATTTTGTAACTTTTAACTTACATGTACAGTTTATATGAGCAATCTTTTTTTTTTTTTTTTTTTTTTTTTTTAAATTTCATAAACACTTTTCTTGATTTTTGTAATTAATTTAATGTTCACCATTTGTTTTGTTTTCAAACCAAACACTAGAACACGGTGACTGTTGTTAATGACAATGAAATTCAAGAAGATATGAAAGTCAAGAACGATGACTCTTGGAGAGAGTTCAAGCTAACAAGGACGGTAGATGGCGCTAATATGACCACCGTAAGTAACAAATTAAAGAATTTTATGGAATTTTATTCAGAATTCAGAACATTTTTCTTTTATTTTGGCCCCTCAATACAAAAATGGGTGAAATTGTTTCATACTAATTTAAGTTCCACAATTAATCAAAGTGGTAACCTTTCACAAAGATTTCATATGAACAGATAGGATGTAGACAAGGGGATCCTTTATCACTCTATATCTTTATCTTGTGTGAAGAAATTTTAGCAAATATGATAATAAAGAAAATAAAGATCCAAGGGAATCACTGTAAAGAATAAGGAAGGAAATATCTCAATTAGCAGATGATAGTTCAATCCTATTGATAGCAAAGAATCACTGACAGAAGGAAAGAAGTTTTCAGAAATGTATGGTTTCTATATCAATTTTGCAAAATACCACGCAGTTTGGATTGGTTCCAAAAGATTTAGTTAAGAAATATTTAGTCATGAGTATAATCTTAGATGGAGATGTACAAGATATTATCGATATATAGTTATCAGATATTCAAAATTTTTTTAAATTTATTTCATTTATGAACAACATGCAACGCAGAAAAGGTAACTGTTATGATACAAGGGGTAATCTTTCTGCATTATGATAAAATTTTCTGACGAAAGAAAAATGTTTTTTGAAACGTTAATTTAGAATTTATAAATTTAAATGCCTCGTTTTGTAGATATCTTGACTTTATCAACTGTCATTTTCTTTTTAGATTGTCAATGCTTTTGGAAAAACCATGCGTAGCAAGCAAAAACGACTTTAGAAATTTAATTATTTGCAGTAAAACACCAAAGACCTCTAGAATCGTGAATATATAACGTTTTGATGGGTCGACAGTCTCCAAAAATGAATAACGTTCATCATAATTATGCAAAGGAAATTGGACTCATGTTTAATGACTGAAATAAAAATTGTTCTGATTTAAATGAACTTTGTTTGTTATTTGTAATAGAACAAAACGGACCGACAGTCTGTTTCTAACATTGCAAGAGAATATTCTCTTTTCCTTTTTATTTGGCCCCTTTCGCCTTCGTAATCGACATGTGCATCAAACACAAGACGTAAACGTTTATAGCGACTGTTCCTCTCAACAGCAGTGAGCACCGATATATTCTAAAGGATCTCCATGCCTAATTCACAGTACAGTTACAGAGCATGACAATACATTCTTTCGTTTTATAATTCAACAATTAATTTCAATCATATCTTGTTTATCATCAGTTGATGGTATAAAAATCGCCAAACTGAAAAAAACCCATATGAAATTAAAATGGAAAAATGACAATCACATTTTTTGTTTAACTTTAATAATCATATTTAAAAAAAGAAATTTGATAATTTCTTCTTTTTTTTTTCTTTTTTTTATAAAATGTAAAATCACGTAATTCATAACCAAAATGAAAAATGAAAGAGAAAAAAAAACCAAGATAACAGAGATCCGTCTTTTATTTTATTAAAACGGTACAAATTGGTGGTCAGGGCTTAGTACCGGTATATTGACTACATTGACCAAGAAAGCCCCGTAGACCAGTTACACGCCTTCTGTCACATCTGTGTCCTACTAGTATATGAACGACAAGGGTTAACTAACAACTTAATTGTGTAGCAAATGACATGACCAGAATCAACTTTCGTAGTGATTTTTCGCCAGTTACACCGCCTTCTGTCACATCTGTGTTATAAGGACCTTTTTAACAAATATCCATTCATTTGGTCGTAGTCATACATATATATAAAGAACGACAAAGGTTAACTAACAACTGAATTGTATAGCAAATGACATGTATTCACAAGCTTTTTTTATCGTCACAACTTTCCGATTTTATATCTTTATCAGTGATTTTTCGCTTTAAAGCAGTAAATGGTGATAAATTCTACACATTATAGTCCCGAACACACATGCGCTCGGTGACCTCAAAATATCGACGAAATATGTACATTTTTCTGTAAAATTCATAAAAAACAGAAATTTACGTCATGTTTGTGACGTCATTACGTACATATGGCGTCATTACTAACGAAAATATTCAGTGCTTTGAAGTCAGTTTTCTTAATTAAATATAATCAAAGTTTGATTTGGGGGCAAATATTGGTTATTACTGAATAAAGTTCTTTTTGTTTTTATTCCAAATTTAAGGAATGTTCCGTCTACTAAATCAATAAATATGGCTCAGAGCAGGTTGTGACCGATCAACAGGGGATGTTTACAGGGATTTCAACGTTTTTTACTGTTCAAATGTGTTAAAAGTTATCTTCATTTTTTTTCAATTCGTAAATGCTATGGACGTTATAATGACCTTTTTAACAAATATAACCTTTCATTTGGTCGTATATTGACTGACGTGCTTCATACATATATACCCTTTGTTAATTTTTGTTTTTATTTCAAATTTATTTTGGAATTTCACAGAAATTTCTATTACCATGGCAACACCGTTCATCCACTAAATCAATTAATATGGCTCAGAGCGGGTTGAATTTGAAATTTCTATTTTTAGTAACCATGGCAACACCGTTCATCGAAATCAAAACTGATACACAGAATTGTGATGTTTACTACTTGTGTAGTTATATTGAAATCTAAAACTTTAGGAGGATCATTTTGAAAGAATTTCACAGAAATTTCTATTTTTATACTCTGTTTACATGTTATTTGTATTGCTTGTAGATTTTTTAGGAGGAGTAGCATTTTGAAAGAATTTCACTGAAATTTCTATTTTTTATCTTCAGTTTTTTCATTTAAAAAGAAATATTATCAACAGTTTTTAACAAAACTTTTAAAGGGGCTAGAATTTCACAGAAATTTCTATTTTTAGTAACCAAGGCAACACCGTTCATCGAAATTAAAAACCGATACACAGAATTGTTTTTAGACCATTGTGTGAGTTACATTGAAATCCTGTAGGAGGAGTAGCATTTTGAAAGAAGAGCTCCATATAAAGATATAATAAAATGATCAAATTTTAAAACAAAAATTGATGAAATTTTCTTTTCCAAATGATAGTTGACAGCTTAAGATATCATATCTAAAAAATTAAGTTATATCTGGTGGTTAATAAAAAAAAAATAATTTGTTGACCCCTAGCCTCCTTAACAAAATCTTCCTAAAGAAGATGTCATTATTTCTTCAATTAAAGTCGCTGCGTATATTTTCCCTCAAGGAAGAATAATTAGTTTTCATGTGCATAAACTAAGCCAATATATAATGAGGACGTGTTTTGGATAAAATTGTCGAAATGATTTTTTAAAAAAATTAATAAATTTCATGCAACATCTAAAGTTTATAATTTTGTTCTTTGAAATAATGAGAATTACAGCTACTATGAATTCTGACATTATCGAATATTTTAAACAAAGCTATAGAAACTTATACTTCTATACATTTCAACGTTTGCCCTAAAATGTAATACGTGTATATGGAGATAACGAACAGTATTCAAGCTCAAACTCAAATAATACAAAATAGAAACTGAGCAAACACAAACCTCCGAATCATCAGAGGTGGAATCAGGTGCCATGGAGGAGAGAGCAACACCTACCAACCGGTCACACCCGCCGTGTGGTCCTTAATTTTCATTATCGGGAAATAATGGAAAATATCCATCGACAATTCATTGTGTAAAGAATGGCCTAATTATTAGTATGAAAAACTTTATTCAGCATTTGACTCAATGATAAATTGTTTTTGCTGACAAGGTCATTGTATCGACCAAAGAACTTGCGAAATAATGGCCTTAAACGAGATAGCTAATATTCTTGTTTCAGCAACTTATTTGTCAATAATTTACCCTGTTTTAGAAATTGTACATTTGTACAGCATTTTTGTGTATCTACTCAACTTAGAGATATAAAACCTGTATGCAGGTGATGAAGGTATATTGTTTCATAAGTAAGGGATGCTGATGATTGAAAAGTTAAAGTTCGTTTATTATAAGGCTTGGTTGTTAGATTACCATTAACGTCCTTTTCAAGTAAGATATCCAAATATGAAACAGATGTGTCAGACGCTGTGGTATCTTTTATTTCAAGCTCACTGGAATATATCATATCGATATAAGAATGGAAAGAACCATTGTCAATTGACAGTTTGTCGTCGATATATATCTACATTGTAAATAAAGAGTTGAAGGCCACGGCAAGTGTTTAATTCTTTTTACGTATAAGATTTCAGACAAATTCTGCTTCATATGAATACAAAAATAGGTCATCTAACAACGGGGCGCAATTGGTATCCATTTGAATTCCAATTAATTGTTGAAGACCTGGTCTCCAAAAACCACAAGCATGTAGATATTGTCAATCAAAAACTCAAGCATCTTTTTAAAATCAACTTCTGAGTACATGAACTTGTATGTACAATCAAATTGTTTTTTAGCAAAATAATTTTGCAAATGACTACTGACAGGGTAAGTAAATTTACGAGTTCCATTTTTATTGAAAAAGCAGCTGTCAATGATATAAAAAAACTTTAATTTATCGTTGGGAATGATTGTGCATAAAGTTGAAAAGTCATAAGTTTTTAAGCTGTTGATTTAGATAAAATCTTGTGATTTCAAATTTTCCAAAAGTTCCTTGGAAATTTTAAGTATCCACATCTGATTTACACCACTCCTCGAATATATTGTTGCACAGTACTCTTAAAGTTTCTCATCGTTACTATAATACCATATCTTCGTGAGGAGTAAAGAGAGAGGCTTAGCTGAGCATTTACTGGAACCCGCAATGTATCTTTTAGAGAAGTTTTTGGTTTCCAATATAGATACAAACAAAGACAATGATGTTACTTGCTTTGTCAGCTGGTACCAGTGCGTATTGATCATGTAATCTCTCCAATTCTTTTTCCCTTCTAGATGGCTTTCATATTGCTCAATCTTTTGAAGCAGGATTATAAAATACACATACATTCGATACATTTAATCCATTCTAAATAAAGTGTCAATGTCTTCTTTTTCATGTCTGACCCATTCAGATATCAATCTAATTAAAATTAGATCCTTTACGCTCCTGTAATTTTTGTTATGTCGCTGTAAGGCGACATAAGAAAATTAATGAGAGTAAAAGATCTAATTTTAATTAGATTGTTCAGATATAGACATCGTAATACAACGTAAAACTTTACAAAAATTAGAATAAACACAAAGCGAAAACACGAAGTGAATCACGAAGCTTTGTTGCAGCTGCAGGACAAATACTATGATCACGATTGTCTCGGCCAATCATGCCGATTCTATTTTACTAGCGATTACTTATATGAGGTATTAATAAATTGTTTTCTTTAATTTTTCTCCTATTTATTTTCGTAAATTTTATGGTCGTTAGCAAAAATAATCTCTCAAGGAGTCGTGTTTTTTGATGACTTAATTCAAACCTTTGTTTTTATATTGAATTTGACTATGGAATGTTCCGTCTAGTTGAAGCTGAACAATACAAAGGGCTCACGGCGGGTGTGACCGGTCGACAGGGATGCTTACTTCTCCTCGGGCACCTTATCCCACCTCTGGAATTCCAGGGATCCGTAATTATGGCCTAGGCACCTTATCCCACAACTGGAATTCCAGGGATCAGTAATTATATGGTCTCTGGAATTTCGTAATTATGGCCTAGGCACCTTATACCTCTGGAAGATATGGCCTGTATCCCACAACTGTTTCAGTACTTATGGCCTCTTCACGTACAGATTTATAATTTTCAAAGATTTTTTTGCGATGGATTACTATTTGTTATGTTCACCTTTTCATTTTTAAGATTTTATAGCAGTTGTGACTTTTTAATTTTTTATCAACCCCCGTAAAATTATTGCCATTTTCGTACACTTTTAAAAACAAATTTGTCATCATTTATTATTTATTTTTATTTTTGAGTAATCAAAAGACCTTGTTTAACGTCATTTTTCTTTGTTCTTTAGTGTAATTCCAAAAAATAAAAA